AAATAAACAGATTTTCAAACCTCATTAATAAACCATGAAACTGCTGTTCTTTGTCTAATATATCATCATGATCTACACAAATTCTGACTTCAAAATTATCAGTTCGAAAAGATTAACCTTAACAAATAAACTGTGTAAATATATGGTTAAAAGTATAAAGTTCCAAGCATATAGAAACTATAATGCAAAAGCAGGAGCTTATTTATATATCTTTAAGCACCTGGTAATCATCTTATTTATAAGATACACTCCTGCATGTTGACAGCAATATACAAACCAGTCACTACAAGAGTCAATCTATAAGATATAGTGAGAAAGAAGCAGTGAAATTTGCCTTTCCATTGTCATTTAAAATCATGTATTTGTGTATTCTAAATACTATTTATAAAATATATTTCCTGGACATTCTTTAATTCTTTCTCAATATTTTTAAAAGAGGAAAGTCCCAAAAATACCAAAATAATTAAATTAATTTACTGAAATACAAAAAAAACAATTAATAGGATAGTTAATGGTGGTTTCTTATAAGCATTTTACAAAATAAATACTGGTGATTTGGGGACAAATCAATATACTATAAAGCATTCTTTGTAGTTAAGTTCTTCATTTTGTGCCTTAAAAGCTGACATTCATTCATAATGAAGTCTTTATATAGTTACATAGTTTTCATGTCTCTTCTGAAGATATAGTAAATCTTTGGGTGCTCAATAAAACTGACCAATTAATTGGTTCTGCCATAAAAACCTGAGAAACTATTCTAATATATTTACATCAAAGACTAGCAAAGTCAAAATAAATTACTAGTCTACCCAGTATATTCTTACTTTACCAAGTTTAAAATTTTCTTCAAATGGGTTCTTTCGAAGGACACTATAAAAGATGTACCACAACAAATAAATTCTCAATATTGCCATTCAAATTTACCAAAAGAAGAAATGATGCAACTTCAGAAATCACTATGAGGGAATATCAGAACAGAATATAGGGGAGAATAGAGAGCTTTGGGGTCAAACAGAACTCAGTTTGAATTTTTGCTTCAGCTCTCACTAACTTTATGACATGAGCAAGTTAATAAAACTTTTTGAGTCTTAATTTCAATTATCAAATGGAAACACAAGGCCAAGCTACAAGCTGTTGTGAGCACTAAATTAGATAACATATATAAATAGACTGCTTAGCACAGTATCTAGGCCATAATAACTACTCAGTACATGACTGTAATTACTAAGAAATGTTTAAGAACTCATGTTCAGTGTAATTTAACGTAATATCAAAATTCCAATTGATGTTGTAAATCATTAGAAAAAATATATTCAATAACAGATTTTTTAATGCACTTAACCTGATTATCCTTTACATTAGTGTTCTTTAAACTGTAGGTGCTGACCCATTAATGGTATGTGAAATCGTTTAGTGAATTTCAACCAGCATTTCTATATAAAACAGAAAAAAAAATATAAGAATGCACTGCATATGGGAAGTCTAAGCATTGATTCAGGAATTTTTTTTTAAAAAAATTAACATTTTGTTTGCTGGATAGCAAAGTAAATGCTTCTCTTACTGTGCAAAAAAAAAAAAAGGTTTAAAAACCTCTGCTTCACATTATAACAAGAATAAAAATAATTAACTGACACTGAATGCTTGTTTCTACAAGACATTGTGCTAAACATCTACACTATTTCGTTTCATCTTCCCAAAAATGCTATAAGGCACGTAATATAACTTCCCCATTTTACTGATGAGGAAACTTAGATTAAGTCACTAGCCAAAGATGCAGAGTTGGTAACTGGTAAATCCAGGGTTCAAATTTAGTTGCCTGACTCCACAACTTGCACATTTAACCACTTCATAAGTATTTTGTTACAAAACATAGTTTTCCTCATACAAAAGTTACTTAAAGGTAGACTTTTTAATGAGGCCTAATTGAGAGTGATTTTCTGGAGGAGCAGCGTATCCTGGAAAAGGCAGTGTGATTCAAAGGTGAAAGCACTAGGTGTGAGATCCAGCTTCGGTCCCTGGCATTGCTGCTTTAGTGGCAAGGAGTTGGCAAGTCATTTAATCTCACTGTGTCTGGATTTCCTCATCTACAAAACAGGAATGATAGTATCTGCCCTGCCTCCCCACAGGCCATTGTGAGGAAGTATATGTACATATAACAAATGTTCTTTTGTGCTACTCAGTTATATGAGATGATCATTAATATCACCCAAGGGGCCCCATTCGTCACAGAAACATACATCAAAAAAACATACATTCAAAACAGGAAGGTTACCGGGCTTTTATAAACTCTATGTGAAAACTCTCTGCACAGTTCTTGGCACACAGTAGGCCTTCAGTAAATGTTGATTAAACTAAAAGAAGTAAACCAACTTGACATTTATGTATGTTTTATCCATTTGTATTTTATTTTTCATTAATTCATGTTTTTTACAACAATTTATCGAATAGCTATTATATACCAGATTAGAAATGTGGACTACAAAGAAAGACTGAAAGACCATCCATTGCCCTGAAGAATTTCACATCAATTTCAGTTAATTTCTTCCAAAACTGTATAAGAGAAAATTGTAAAATACAGCTTCTTTTTCTAGTAATAATAACTTACATTTATTATACAGAGCTTTATAGTTTAGAAAGAACTACAGGCATACCTCAGAGATACTGCAGGTTCCACTCCAAACCAGCACAATAAAGCGAGTAGTAATCTTTTTGCAGGTGGAGGGCCTTGCTTTCAATTTGTAAAAAACGCAACACCTGTGAAACGCAATAAAGCCAATAAAACGAAGTATACCTGTGTGTGGTAGCTTTTGTTTCTCAAATCAATTGCCTTTAAGTCTATATTATCTTCTTGACACCAAATTCAATGCCAAGTACTGCTAAGTCTTTAAAGTGAAAGTTTCTCAATGTCAGAGGTGAGTATATAAATAAGATTTTGTAGAAAATACATTTTAAATAGTACCGGAAAGGTGTGATCTAGTAGCATGATTTTTTTCCCTTACAGGCAATTTTCTGTTGAATATCTGAACTAGGATTCAGTGTTCTCATACAATAAAAGAGATAGTAGTGAAGGTGTCCTTCCTTTGTTGACTTTTAAAAATTAATCAAAATTGATGTATTCGGATTCCTGAGTCACATACAATGTCAAATAATTGTTAGCCATTTTATGTAAAATTCAACAACTAGTATTGGTGATTTTTACAGGGAAACAATGATATAATGACAACTTAATGAACTGAAATTTTGCAATAGAATATCTACTAAGAACCCTTTGCAAAATTGCCTTATCCTTTGTATTCTAACCACTCCCTCTCCATCGCCACCACCCAACACACACACACATACACACACACACACACACACATTTACACACGCATACACACTCCCTCACCTACACCAGATCAGTTTCCGGGCTATTATTCATAAAACCCTATTAAAATTTCACAACACATGGTCGCAGTTACTAGGTTTTGTCCCCCCTCCCCACATCCACGGACTCAATGTGTCTTTACATATACATATTCTCTTAAAATCTGGAATTCATAAAATGATTCTCATGCATCTATTCTGAAAACATCTAATGTAAAATGTAAACGTCTGCCCTTCTGCTTACTGATAACCATGAATAAAAGCCGTACCCCACCCATCGTATCTATAGGGTTAGGCGGTGCAATCGCACCACTACAGAGCCCTGCAAAAAAGGACGGTTATAGAACCAAGAAAACCATCGCCAGAACCCCCGGGAAAATATAAGGAAAACGCATTTTACACCACTGGCAGCGTGCAGTCTCCCGGCGGCTCCAGCTTTTGGTAAACAGGGAAAACCTTTGTCCTGCCTCAGCCATCAAACTGGGGGGCTCGTCAGAACTGGGGCAACAAGAGTTTGTGCGAAATGGCTTGGCAGAGGTTAAACAAAGCAATGCCGCTCTGGCGAGAGTAGACGGCTGACGGTGATCAGCGTCCGCGATCCCAGCGTCCCGAGATCCCCTACCCTGGTCAGCGTCGGAGATCCCGGAGTCTTGCTCTGCGCCCTGCTCACCCGCCCCGCGCCCCGCCGCAGCCGGGACCCGCGCCGCGGACCCGGGGGCAGGACGCCGCGGCGCGGGAAGGAGGGAACGAGAAGGTCCCACGCTCTCGGCAAGTTCCCGAGGGCGCAGCCGGGTCCGCAGGTTCCCGCGAGTGGGATCCTAGCAGCGCACACCGCGCGCGGGCGCCTTGGGGAGGGTCCGTGCCACACACGCCAGGACACCACCGCCCCAGAGTCCAGGGCGGGCCACGCCGAGCCCACGCTCCCAGGGCCAGGGCAAGGTCGGGAATCCAGGGCCCGCGGGTGGAGGGGAGAAGCCCGCCCGCTGCCCCCATTGTCTGGCCCCAGCAGCGGGC